TGTGGCAGGGCGGGGCGGGCCTGTCTCAAGCCGCGGAGGACCCTTGGCCCGTAATGGTCGGACGTCGCACAGGGCTCATTTAACATCGAACAGGGAGCTCCTAATAACTTCATCAGGACCTACCCGGTGTTTACCGCGGGCATCGACCCGCCGCCACCGCCGCGATTAGAGCCACACACAAGTCCCAAGTCCGTCAATCACTCGACCAAAAGAAAACTACGATAATGCTTCCGTGTCCTTCTCATTATTTTCACTTTTTCCTTGTGTGCTTCTTTCACGGGCAAGGCCACGCGGCTCAGCCGGACAGCGCTGGGCGAGACGGCGTCCGGACAGGTGGTCAACCTGCTGAGCAACGACGTCAGCCGCTTCGACATCATGGCCATCTTCCTCAACCATCTGTGGATAGACCCCACGCTCACCCTCATCATCGCGTACCTGTTGTACGCGCAGGTCGGCTGGTCGGCCTTCGTCGGCATCGGGGCCGTGTTCATCGTCGTGCCACTGCAGTGTGAGTAAGCGTGCGCAGGGCTTCAGAGAGAACGATCATTCATCATGGGGGACTGAACCTACCCACCACGGAACGAAAAGGCCCTAACAAAAAATCACCCAAAAGTCACTACATAGGAGGCCACACCAAGTACAAACCTTTAAAAAAAAAAACTTGGAAAATAAATAGCAAAGACAGTCAGAGTAATAAAAGTATATTAAAAAGGAAATTTTGGTCTACGAAAAGTCAGTTACATAATACTGTTACTCATACGTAGAGATAATTTTTGAACAGGGCAACAATACTGTTTAGCACTGCACATGACCTGACCCGGCATGACGGTTGCAGCCTACACCGGCGGCCTCTCGTCCAAGTTCCGGCACCGGATCGCGCTGAGGACCGACAAGCGCGTCCGCCTCATGGACGAGATCGTCAACGGCGTGCAGGTCATCAAGATGTACGCGTGGGAGAAGCCCTTCAACAAGCTCATCTCGGAGGCGCGACGGTAAGTCGTGAAGGCCGCCGCCCCCCGGCGTTTCGCTACAATGACTTTCGCGGTTCGCGCGGGAAACTTGAATGCACTCCTCTTAAATGTCATCCCCCTTTATTCAGCGACGAGATCAAGGAGCTGCTCAAAGTGTACATGGTGCGCGGCGTGTTCATGACCTTCATGATGTTCACCACGCGCGTCGCCCTGTTCTCCACACTCGTCACGTACGCACTGTCGGGCGACCCGCTCAAGGCGTCATTCGTAAGTAGACAGCTCTGTTCAGACAAAAGGGGGGAAACGAGGAGGCGTGCCCCATATTCGCACAGCACGCAAAACAAGCGTTTGCTAACATAGCTAAGAAAAAGTTTGACGCCTTAGTGGTTGTTTTCCGACTGGCTCAATTTCTGCACCCACAAAAATAGTTTATTGATTCAGGGGGAAGCTGACACAAGATAAAATTCACCATTGAAACAAGGCAATATTGTCTTCAGAATAAGATTTTTCTCTTACTCGAAGGAAAATATCAGCTTGTTTCAAGAGTAAATTTGATCTTGTGTCAGCGTGCACTTGAAACAAGGAAAAATTTACTTGAAACAAGAAACGATTTTTCTGGGTGTGTCGGCAGACTTCCAAATTGAAATCTTTGCTAGAGTCTATGAATGCATGTATATATATCGTATCTGGACAAGAAAAATTCTTGGTGCTGAGCTGCTTAAGCTAACTTTTGACTGATGCACAAAAAACTTTTGCTAACACAGCCAACTGAAAAAACAAACAAAAACATAGCAAAAAA